TCAAGTGCCACAAATTCAAGTTTTGATAAATTTGACATAGTGAAAACTATCATAAAAGATGAATAAGTTAGAGAAATAATTATAATAATAAACAATTAATGAAAACAAAACGATTAAGGTAAAAGAAATGAAAATAGAGCTATATCATGTTAACAATCTACTATTTCATTTTATTCTTGCCATAAAGTAGAAATTACATACTTGTTTCATTTCACTTTATATTATTGATATATATGTGTTAATAGAACTGAACGTGACTAACATTATTTATATGTTCCAATAAATATAAAGTAATTAAACTATAAAATTATTGCTTGTCAATTTATTTCTCACAGTTCTTCAAAATGCATTAAAGATATGTTTTGATCTAGGGAGTTCATGAATATTATAAGTATGACATTAATGTATAACTAGTTTGATGACTTTGAGGTCCTCTAAGAGTTTAGCACGGAAGGAAATAGTTATTTTATCACTGCAATGTACTTAAACTATTTAAGATGCCCAAGCGCACAAGTAATCTGCAAACAATGAGCATATGATATGTACTGCCATAAATAAAATGATTATAATGATACATACCTTAATAAAATATGGCTCAACTTAGCGGGAGTTAAGAATAAAATTAGAGCTTCGTGCTAATAACGTGTTATAAAATAAAAGCAATGCAGTAAAATGTAAACAAGAAGAGATAGAGAGAATTGAGAAGTGTTTTCTTCTTTCACTTTGGTGTAATTTTTCATTGCAATTACATGACCTTTTATAGGCATAAAAAGTAAAGATGATGGACATAAAATAGGAAATTTAATCTTTAAGTTATTCACAACATGTGCATCCAATGTAACATCCAATGTAGTATCCAATGTAGTATCCAAAGTAGTATCCATTGTACAAACTATTCATAACAATTTTATACATTTTAGAAAACCCAGTAGTAACAATAATTCACTTCACTTGACTAGGTCCAATACTAATAATCTTATCGAGCAGACCCCATCTCATACAAACTGTTCCAAACCAATAATTCTTATCTCTTCCAACACCAATAATTCTTAGGAGTAGAGCCCATCTCATACAGTAGTACTATTTTTGATTAGTACAATTGTTGTCTGTGACTAAGAAAATTACTGGGATTTTAGCTGTCTCTTGTGTACATATTACAGTGGAATTTGGTGCACGGAGAGTGTGTGGTCTTTGAAGGAATTTCTTATTTCCTTCTATTAAAGTCCAAATAAAACAAAATAAAAATAATTCAAATCAACGGGAGTAGAGCATTAAGAAGAAGCTTCAAATAATTTCCTACCACATTAAATATTACAGTATGTATCACTTGACTAGGTCCTATACCAATAATTCTATGGAGTAGAGCCCAACTCATTCAAACTTTTCTTATTTGAAGTGCTACTAATTGTTTATTTCTTTCTCTCCTATTATCGTCAGTTGATCTCTTACCACAATTACAATTTATCCACGTATAGGTTTTATTTTCTTTTCAGAAAATTCATTGAATCAATGGAATCATCTTCTGCTTCTGCGAGTACTTCACAGTTTTTTCGATGGAACTACGATGTTTTTCTAAGTTTTAGAGGTGTAGATACACGGAAATCATTTACGAGTCACCTGGGCGAAAACTTGAATATGAGGGGAATAAAAACCTTTCAAGATGATAAAAGTCTAGAGCATGGCGCATCCATCCCAGATGAACTCTGTAAAGCTATCGAGGAGTCTCAATGTGCACTCATCATTTTCTCAAAGAATTATGCAACATCGAGGTGGTGCTTGAATGAACTAGTGAAAATCATGGATTGCAAGTCCCAGTTTGGACAAACTGTCATACCGGTCTTCTATGATGTGGATCCATCACATGTTCGGAATCAGAGGGAGAGCTTTGCTGAAGCATTTGCCAAACATGAAACAAAGTATAAGGATAATGTCGAGGGAATGCAAAGATGGAGGATTGCTTTAACTGCAGCGGCCAATCTCAAAGGCTGTGATATTCGTGACAAGTGAGTTAAAAACACATAATTGCTCATAAAAATGGAGTAATTTCCATTCAGTTTTGGATGATTATGTGAAGACTAATACATATTCTACTATAGAACAAAGAATCTATACCTCCAAAATGAGTTAAACGGAATCGACATTAAACTTGGCCATAGATTTTGGCTATTTTTAAATAAAATAAATTGAAAACACTATTTATTTCATGGAACATGACCGTTTTTGAAACAAATTTAATTTTTTTTTCAAGTTACCAAAAACTGGTTTAGGACATTTTTTGGTGAATTTTTCTCTTCCACACACAAAATTTCAAGTTCTTTTCTCCAAATAAAATGCATGTCCAAACAACTTCAACTTCTAAAACTTATTTTTCAAAAATTCGTTTTTCAAATTACAGCTAAATCTATGTCCAAACTCTAACTAAATAAATATATCATATTTACAAAAATAAAAATAAAAAGGTGGAAACTTAATCACTTTGTTTTGCTAAAAGTACTGCATGCACAATCTAATTTCATTGATTGTCATTTAAAGGTTAAAAACTATTTTTATTTTATATTTCCTGAAAAAAAGAATAATGGTTGATTATGTATGTTTTTATCGGTAAGAACGGATAGTTCCTATCAATTTATTTACTCAATGACATTATTACGTAGATAATATTTTGATTGATAATTCAGGAGATTGATTTATGTGCACAGTCCTTTTTATCATAATTCTTCACTCTACATTGTGAAATACCTCTTGTAATTCTTGACTATTTACCTGTATATATCGGCAATCTTCTTAAATTTTGTAGGACTGAAGCAGACTGTATTCGACAGATTGTTGACCAAATCTCCTCCAAATTATGCAAGATTTCTTTATCTTATTTGCATAACATTGTTGGAATAAATACCCATTTAGAGGAAATAGAATCCCTACTAAGGATAGGAATCAATGATGTTCGGATTGTGGGGATCTGGGGCATGGGGGGAGTGGGTAAAACGACAATAGCTAGAGCTATGTTTGATACTCTTTTAGGAAGAAAGGATAGTTCCTATCAATTTGATGGTGCTTGTTTCCTTAAGGATATTAAAGAAAACAAACGTGGAATGCATTCTCTTCAAAATACCCTTCTCTCTCAACTTTTAAGGGAAAATGCTAATTACAATAATGAGGATGACGGAAAGCACCAAATGGCTAGTAGACTTCGTTCTAAGAAAGTCCTAATTGTGCTTGATGACATAGATGATAAAGATCATTATTTAGAGCATTTAGCAGGTGATCTTGATTGGTTTGGTAATGGCAGTAGAATTATTGTAACAACTAGAGACAAGCATTTGATTGGGAAGAATGATGTAATATATGAAGTGACTGCACTACCTGATCATGAATCAATTCAATTGTTCTACCAGTATGCTTTCAAAAAAGAGGTTCCAGATGAGTATTTTAAGAAGCTTTCATTGGAGGTCATAAATCATGCTAAAGGCCTTCCTTTAGCCCTCAAAGTGTGGGGTTCTTCCTTACATAAGATGGATATAACTGTGTGGAAAAGTGCTATAGAGCAAATGAAGAATAATCCTAATTCAAAAATTGTTCAAAAACTCAAAATTAGTTATGATGGATTAGAGTCCATGCAACAAGAGATTTTTCTGGATATAGCATGCTTCTTACGCGGGGAAGAAAAAGATTACATCATGCAAGTTCTCAAGAGTTGTTATTTTGGAGTTGAATATGGATTGGATGTCCTAATCAGAAAATCTCTTGTGTTCATCACTGAAGATGGTAAAATTGATATGCATGACCTAATACAAGAAATGGGTAGATATATAGTGAACTTTTCAAAGGATCCGGGAGAACGCAACAGACTATGGCTCGCCAAGGATTTTGAAGACGTGATGATCAATAATACGGTTAGTTAGCTAAACAATGCGAGATTATTTGATTACTAATTTTCATATTACAAAGACATATAGGGCAGTCAATTTCAATTATTTATTCATCTTGCTTCATACTCTTGCAGGTACGTAATTTCAGTTGTTTACTTTAGTTAGTAGGAGAAGCAAAAGTAATATTAATTGCCTAATTAGTTTTAAAAAAGACATTAATTGCCTAAATCATTAAGTAGCATCTTTAATTTACGTTGCGTAATTTGTTTTTCTTATATTTTTTAGCGATTGATTAGTCCAGCTAGGAGCCACTTAATCTGTTTGATCCAATTTTATGCTTTGGACTAACTTGAAAATTTTATGACATTTTATTACATAATAACTCAAGCAGAGAGTCAGTTTACCATTTTTTTAAAAGTCACTACAATTTATTGGTATTGTTTTAATTACAGTTTCTTTTTATCGCAACATTAAAAGCTTAAAAACTTGACTCTAATGAACTTCTAAGAGAAATGTAACATTAGAAAATAGAACTATAGAATTAATTGCAAAAAATATTTTTCTAAAGTAACATCAGTATTTCCTAATAATCTTCTTACCAGGGTACCATGGCAGTGGAAGCAATTTGGGTTTGTGAGGCCATGAATTGGGATACAATTCGTACACTACACTTAGGCAATGAGGCTATGAAAAATATGAAAAGGCTTAGGATATTAACCATAATGAGGTTGTGGTCCTTTGATGGCTCCATTGAGTATCTGCCCAACAGCTTGCGTTGGTTTGTCTTTGGTGGCTATCCTTGGGAGTCATTCCCAGCTGAATTTGAACCCAAAAAGCTTGTTCACCTTGCACTCACATCCAGTTCACTGTGTTATTTATGGACGGGAACAAAGGTACAATAGTTGAGTCTTATTTTACTTTTATTTTTCTTTCTAACTATCTTTTATCTTTTAATTTAGTGATAATGAACAAATATTATTGCTTTTGTCACGTATTATTTGAGGTACTTTCTATTTTTGCTTGAATTACGATGCATGTCTTTAAATGAACAAAAGTTATTAATTCCCTAGGCTCAAATTAATGTATTTCCATCTCAAAAAGTTTATTGTAATTTATATTATTTGGGGTTGTTCTCTCAATATTATTGTAAAATCTCTCTATCTTTTTTCTTTAAATCATTCCATTATCATTTTAACTAAGAAGCTCAACTTAAAAACTCATTCAATTATTTCTAATAATAATATTAGATTCATATGAATTTCATCCTAGGTTGTATGTAGTGGGACGGAACTCGGAAGGAATAATTATTAGTAAAACACAGGGAGTTTATTATGTACAACTATTTTCTCGAATGACCTATATGCTTTCATACATTGCTTCCGGATTTAATATTTGGGTTTTCCCATTTTATATTACACTTTTTTAAAGAATCAAACACTTTTCTCTTTGCTACAGTTTTTTCCAATCATTTTAATTAAATTTAACAATATTTTTTATTTATAAAATATTTTTATTTAGTTTCTGAACATGTAATTTTTCATGTATAATAAATAAACTTCTAATTTCACACTAAATAATGCGTTGGACCTCATAATTCAAATGCTATCAGTCATTTGTTGTCGAGGGAGTAATAAGTACTTTTTAGGAATGCTAGCAACAAGTAATTAAGAAATCAAGAAAACAGAGGTCATTTGATGCCCACAAATACAAATGAAAAAATAAAACAGTTTCTAAATTTATAGATAGCCCCACTAACCAAATATTTTATTATTGGAATCCAGCAGAACAGCAAAATAGGTTCTTTCTTTTTTCTCATTCTGTCTGTGTTCTGAACAGGATTTGCCGTCTCTACGGAGGATAGATCTCATGCGGTCTAAAAGACTGATGCAAACACCAGATTTCACGGGGATGCCAAATTTGGAGTATGTGAATTTTTATAAATGTAGTAATCTTGAAGAGGTTCACCATTCCATGGGATGTTGCAGAAAACTCATTCGGTTAAGTTTGGGTTATTGTAAAAGCCTTAAGAGGTTTCCATGTGTTAACGTGGAATCTCTTGAATCTCTCAGTTTAGGATATTGCTCAAGTTTAGAGAAATTTCCAGAAATCCACGGGAGAATGAAGCCGGAGATACAGATTCACATGCTAGGCTCTGGGATAAGGGAACTACCATCCTCATATTTTCAGTACCAAACTCATATTACCGACCTACATTTGAGCTTTATGAAAAACCTTGTTGCTCTTCCAAGCAGCATCTGTAGGTTGAAAAGTTTGGTTAGTCTAAATGTGTGGGGTTGCCAAAAACTGGAAAGTTTGCCAGAAGAGATAGGGGATTTAGACAACTTGGAGGAGCTTTATGCCCGCTGTACTCTAATTTCACGACCTCCGTCTTCCATCGTACACTTGAACAAACTTAAAATCTTGAAGTTTGGAGGCTTCAAAGATGGAGTGTACTTTGAGTTCCCTGCGGTGGCTGCAGGATTACGATCATTGGAAGATTTGGATCTCAGTGAGTGCAATCTAATAGATGGAGGACTTCCGGAAGATGTTGGATCCTTATCCTCTTTGAAAGAGTTGGATCTCAGTAGAAATAATTTTGAGCATTTGCCTCGAAGCATAGCCCAACTTGGTGCTCTTCAATCCTTAAACTTATCAAATTGCGAGAGGCTTACACAGCTACCAGAACTTCCCCCTGAATTAAATTTATTGCATGTAGATTGTCATATGGCTCTGAAATTTATCAATTATTTAGTAACAAAGAGAAAGAAACTACAGAGAGTGATATTCCCTTATGATGAGGATGATGAGGATGATGCACACAATGATACTAAATATAATTTGTTTGCACATGCCCTGTTTCATAATATCTCTTCCTTGAGGCATGACATCTCTGCTTCAGATACCTTGTCCGAAAATGTGTTTACCATTTGGAATCCTAAGAAGAAGATCCCAAGTTGGTTCCTCCTTCAGGGAACGAATAGTAGTGTATCGGTCAATTTGCCTGAAAATTGGTATATACCTGATAAATTTTTGGGATTTGCTGTATGTTACTGTGGCAGCTTAATTGACACCACAGCTCAATTGATTCCCGAATGTGATGATGGGATGTCGTGCATGACCCAGAAACTTGCCTTATCAGAATGTGATACAGAATCATCCGACGACTCAGAACGGTATACACCAATTCATTTTTTCTTGGTACCTCTTGCAGTCTTATGGGATACATCTAAGGCAAATGGCAAAACACCAAATGACTATGAGATTATTAGGATATCTTTTTCTGGAGAAATGAAGGACTATGGACTTCGTTTGTTGTATAAAGAAGAAGCTGATGATGAGGCCTTGTCACAAATGAGGGAAAATAACAATGAAACAACAGAACATTCCACTGGGATAAGGAGTAGCAGATCTGACCATAGTGAACACCATGACTCCGTGACCGATGAATCCAGTTGCTGCTGTCACATACTGTAATAACATTAGAAACAAAGGTCACACTCTAATGAAAGTAACTTGCAAGTTTTGAAGCGCTTTGCTCTAAAGTCGGTGGCATTGCCTATGAAGAGCATATGTTTCCTTTGTTTGTAGCAGAACAACTGGACTCTTGGCCTGAGAAAGAGATTCGCGAGAGAACTTACTTGGGTATGCTATAATCCATTCTTTTTAAATCTACATATATCTATACTATTTACTGCTCTTATTAGTAAAGGTGACGTGACGCCTCTCTTACACCAGAATAATAGTCTTGTGAAATGAAATCACATCTTCGCGTTTGCTGACAGGTAAAAACCAATTGCAGATGAATGTTGGCGAAGCAAGAAAGCTGTGCCAAAAATGGATGGATGAAAGAAGCCTTGGAACTGTTCTTCCTTTGGGATGTAGAGCTCAACTAGTCTTGTATTCTCTTCATCAGAAACTGATGTTCACCTAAAATATTGTGTTTTCTTTTTTCATAAAAAATTCCTGAAAAGGAAAAATCTGTTTCATTTGGAACATCAATCACAGAAGTACATGCATGTTAAGCTTTCCAAAACTTCAAAACCTTTTTCAGAACCAATTAAGGACTCACAAAATAGACTAACTTCTGCCATATAAGAAGGATGAAAAGAAAAATCGGTTAAATAGAGTAAAATAGGATTGCTAATGATGCAATTAATTACTTTCAAACTAGATCTTTGAATAAAAAATCTTGATTATCTATATGTCTCACCAGAATCCATTTCGGATGAGGATGTTTTAGCTATATTCATAAACCGAATCTCCATTTATCTGATTTACCTTGGTGACAGATCAAAAAGATGATTTGTTTATAAAACTTTTTGCATCTTTTCAATGATAATTATGTGATTATAAATTTTTTTATCTTCATATGGAATATATACGCAACGTGCTTGCCCAAAAACTAGTAGAGCAAAATAAGAGCGAGCTATTTTTAAGTTTAAATTTTTTAACAAATTATAGCACTTATGTTATTATTGTTATGAAAATTAAAAATTAACGGTTATCCACAAAGCCACACTTGATGTTCAGATTTCAGATCAATAGAACTTATACCTTATAAACACATTTCTCTATTATCATTTCAAGATAAGAAAAGACAATAGAAAGGACTAATCTTTATTCTATTATGAATTGACACAGCTCACCATTTTCATGAATTTATAAACAGAAAAGTGTTTTAAAGAAGTTTTTAGTTTTAATCACTTTTTTTCCAAGAAACCAGAGACTGAGGGTGACAAAGGTCTAGTCTTTATTATGTTAAGAACTTAGAGAGTTCACTTTATTATAAATTTATGAAAAGAAAAGTGTTTTTAGGTGTTAATCACTTTTTTTTCAAGAAACCAGAGACTTAGAATGAAAAGGTCAAATATTTATTCTGTTAAGAACTTACCCAGTTCACTTTATTCATGAGTTTATGAAAAGAAAAGTGTTTGAATGTATCTATCTAAGCCTCGAGGTGTGCGCAAGCTGCTCGGACACCACCATTATAAAAAAGAAAGTGTCTAATGAAGTATTTAGCTGTTAGTCACATTTTGTTCAATGATAAGTTGTATGCAGAAGGAAAAAGATTGTTCCTCGAAGTTGTATGCAACACTAAACAATTGATGTTTCATTTTATTGTTTCCAGTCTTTATTATCTTTCTTGTGCCTTGATTCTTTCTTGTTTCCCGTCTTTATTATCTTTCGTCCTTTTGATGTTTTGCAGTGTATTACCTTTCATTCGTTAAAGAATTTTAGAGTTGCAATCTCAACATGTCAGTTCGCTTCCCTCAGGACATGTAAAAGGTGTCTCATAGAATCTTAAACCAGTCCATCAAAATTGCAGTCTTTATACACTAGCAATGAAAGGCAATATGTTTCTTTGCAATTTGAGAAATTGCCTAAAAATCAACTAGAGGAAGAAAGTACATATTTTTTCGGCCTCGAGGATCTGTCATGAGTAATGGAAATTACAAACGGAACATGAGTAAGCTTCATCTGTGTGACATTCAAAGATGACCTGTGCCAAGTTCAACAGCTTTGTTGAAAAATGCAAGTTCAGGCTCAGAGATAGAAACAGATTTCCGGGTATCCTAAACTGATAAACGTACAGAGACCTGATCCGAAATGTTTTTCCATTTGCAATGTTATCTAAATATGCAGGGAAAACAGTTCCGGGTGTTTGTACTTCATCAGTTGGTTTTTGTGGGGTTTGGTAGGGCAACTCTTTGACGCATAATAGTTGCAAGAAAACTCAGGCTGCTTCGAGTCTTGACAGTGCAGATGAAAAGCTTTTTGTAAAAGCATGTGTACATGTAAAAGAAAACTCATGTCGCGGCCAAAATACATAAAGAAAGGAGACTTTTTTCAAAGTGGTTTAGGTAGCTCAATTAGACTGAAAATCATTGTGTGGTTTGAATTCTCACCAAAGAAAAGGATGCGAGGTGGAGGAATTGGTCAACTCATCAGACTCATGACCTAAAAAATACAGGTTCGAATCCTGTTCCCGCCTAATCAATGGAACATTGTTCACTAGGATAGAAGGCAGATAATGCAAATTGACAAAGTGACGTTAAGCATTCCTAGTGGTACAAAAAGAGGGGTCATGATAATATCATCTATGTCTGTACTGCTCTTCGTTGAGTAGATTTGATAAGACATCATATCAGGACATAATCGATGTGACCACTCCCTTGGGCTTGCCGCCCTGCTCTTCGAGTTTTGGCTTGCAAGTATATGTTGGAATTTGGTGCAGGGAGGGTGGGTGGTCTCAATTGAGGTTCTCCACAAACTTTTTGGTGTACATATTACAGTAGTTGATTCTTCTGAGTAAATTAATGTTCAGGCATGTATAGAATTCCTAGAAGTTGGAGAATGTGTTCATCTTTTCTGCCTTTGTATGGCTTAACTGACTTATCACAAGCACCTTATTTTCTAAACTTCTCCTGTTTTAAATTAGCTTTACTGTGGATTTACCTGCAGTTGCAATCACTTAAACTGGAGCTTGAAGAATCAAAGGTTAGGTTATATCAGTTGTCTTTCATTGACAATCCTATATGTTTCTCTGGGATGTTTCAAACATTACGAAACTGATTTTTGACTGCACATGGATTATCAGTTGCATTTACTTTTTCATTTGCATCTGCGTAGAACATTATATGAAGCTCCCATAATTTATTTATTGGTGTTTCATACTGTCAGTATAACATAATTTAATGCTTAACATTTTAATTTCAGGAAGCCTATCAAAAACATTTTGAGGAATGGCGTCAAAGTCAATCTGATTCCAAGGATGGTAGCTCAACCAAGTATCACTCAATGATGTAGCTTCAATATGGACGCAGGTGGTTGGTGGTGCAAAGAAAGATAGAACCTACAGTCTTGGATCACAACATATTATTGACTAGTGATGCGAGTTATTCGCAGAATCACGAAGAGGTGGAAGAATTACGAAAAAAAGATGAAGAGTTGAAGGAGGAACGGGAAAAATATCTCGCAAATTTTAACAAATTGCAGAGTTTAGTGGAGAAACTTATGAGCATGCGTCAATTTGATCCTTTGAATGGAGAGGATGACAGGGATAATGAGTTTTAGTTTGTTGTGGTTGTGATGTTTGAGACATTGTTATTTGTTGTGGTTGGATGTTTACACTTGACTATGATTGTAATGTTTTAGACTAGATTGAATGGTGCTTGGATGTTTAACTTGTGTTTGGATATTTTTGTTACAAATATTTATGTTTTCTATAATTGTTTGCATTTTATGGATTTGATTAGTTGAAATAGTGGATTGATTGGTTGGGATGGTGGATTAATTGTTTAGTTGATGTATATTTGAATTGGCACGTGGTGGTTTTTAAAACAATTGAAATTTGTCAAAAAATTCCCAGCTTTCCGACCACGGTAGTCGCAAAGTGCTTCAAAATTTTCCAGATTCAGGACATTTGCGACTGTTGAGTGGGAAAAGTAAATAAATAAATAATATTAAATTAGATTTGCGACCGCAGTAGTGGGAAATATAAATAAATAAATAATATTAAATTAATTTTGCGACCGCAGTAATGGGAAATATAAATAAATAAATAAATAATATTAAATTAATTTTGTGACCACAGTGATGGAAAAACTCAAATAAAATAAAAATATCTTATATTATTTGCGACCACTCAGGTGAGAAAGAATAAAGAAAATTATAACTATATATACTAGTGGGAAAGTTAATATAAAATCAAAATTTAATTTAAATCGATTGTGTCCGCGTCAGTCGTACAGTTGGCGACATTTATTATTTGTTTTTCTATTTTGACTTTGCAACCGTTGTAGTCGCAAATTCAGACCATCTATTTTGCGACTACAATTTTTCGGTCCGAATGTAGTCGGAAATTAGCATTTTCTGACCGCATTCCAAACAATCAACTAATATTTATGCACCTTTTCTTCTTGGTTCTTGAACAAGTCGAGTTCTCCTTTGAACGACAAATATTTAGTTATCAATTATGTGTCATGCTATGATAGGGAAATCTATGTCCTTTCAGGATATTGTCGAGCT